AGCTCCTCTACATACTCTCCAGATATAAATGTTTTACGTGCTTTTCTTGTTTGACACTGAAACCAGGAGCACTGCAGCACCCGGAGGCAGGCTGGCCTACCACCTCCCAAAAAAAGCAATTGTCATGGAAGAAAACAAAAAAGAAAAGAAAAATATTACATGGGATAGGTTATACAGCTGGTTTGCTGGTTTCCATTTCTGGAGCCATGCACGCCTTGCATTTTCCAGGACTTCTTTACAAGCTAGAAAACTTGACGTGAAAACTAGAAGTTTATTTATGGTGAAAGTTAAGATTTTCACCTAAGACAACAGCTTATATTTTAAGTAAATCATATATGGTGAGATTTCTTAAAAACAAGCAATCAAACCAACCACAAACACACACACACCCCCCAAAAAAAACCCCAAAACAGGTTGGCAACTTCCCACTCTGTGTGTCCCATTACAGTTTATGGTACCATTTGCTGAAAATCTTCCAACCTTTTTCCCTTGCCAGCTTCCATCAAATTCTAATTTGGTATATATTTCACCACCTTGTTATCTGAGCTTTCAAAGAGTTGTGTTGTTCTTACGGCTACTCCTTCATTTAAAAATATAATAAATTGTGTTTGCTACTCAAAGATAGGATATAGTAGTTTTCATTACAATTTCATCCCATGAAAAGAATAGGCCAACTAGTACGAGCATTTCATCAGGCTTCACAACCTGTATGCCAGGAACATGGTGTTTAACATACTCTCACATACCAAAAATACATGATGACAGAAACCCCCAAGTTTGCTGTTCTTCTCATAAGCCTTAACAGACATATAACAAAGTATTAAGGGCAAAATACTTTAAGGGCTTCCAGAGCTTGATGGCTTATTCCTAGGAAACTAGTAGGGATTCAAGTATTTCCAATCTATATGGTTAAAAAAAAAAAAAAATATATGGCTACTATCCCTTAAACAGAATTTGCATAGACACCAGTGCTTGTGACCTCAGACATAGGAGCTAGCTGTTTCCACTTTGATTTTTAATAGCTGAATGTCAAAGGAGTGAAAGAACTACACACTGGTAAGTCTAACTTTCACCAAGATTGATATATCCATTGTATGTGGCTAAATACATGCATTTCAGCTCTCTCCAGAGGTCTGTGCGTTTGAGTGACTGAAGAACTGCAAACTAAGCTTTTCATTTGCACTTATCTGTTATATATGAAGTTATAAATCAGTTGCGTAGGACAAATTCAGTTCAATGCTTTCACAGCTTTCCTGAAAAAATCTGTTTCAGGCTGTCATGGTTTTAAACCTAAAAATACTGTGTATTTTTGTTAACAGGAGCACAACTGAATTTAATCAAGAAAACAATATTCAAACCCAGTCTCAAAAAATTACATTATAGAACAGTGCAAATAAAAAAAAAAATATAAAAAAAATCCATAAAATTCCATCTTTTCACAGACTCTGGAATACCATAAATTGTTTTCTTAATGCTAAAAATAAACAGCTGTGACACTTTAATTTAGCTGTTGAAATCCTATCAGTAGAACAGTGAAAATCAGCAATATGCTTACGAGTACACATACACACAGGCAAAGTAGATACCTTTAACAGGATATATATTTCAACTATTTTTAAGATGCTGTATTGTTCATTCATGCCACACTAAAAACATACTCTATTTTCCTGCCAGAATAGCTGATATGTCTTACAGTTCTACATAAAATGCAGACACTCAAATATATGCTGAATTGGAGGAGGAGAGGGGGATTTGATGGTTATCTGCAATTTTGCAAGCATGTATATTTTATTTCTTTTTCAAAGGGAGTTCAGTTACAGTTTGGAGACAGTTAGGAAACAAATGATTTTTTATATATATCTCTCTCTATATATATCTTTCGTTCCTTGCTTATGGGTTTACTTATCATGCTAGTCACAATTCAAGTTTGTGTGAATAACAGAAAATGGCTGTCAAAAGCATTCCTCGCATCAATGTTCGTTCATAAGTCAAGCTCTCATCCCCTTTAAGCTGCTTGCAAACCTCCTATTTTTTCCCCCCACTTTGGCTTTATATCTACATAGTCCTACTTTAAGGCACACACAGGAGAAATATAACAATATTTTCAGATAGCTTTATTTTGTATATACTTCCCATCTAGCGTACGTGAAGAACCAAAAGGAAGGGTGATCACCAACTTGTTACTTCACTCATTAGGAATTTGGCTTGGAAAGGTTCAGATAGAAAGCATTTACTCTATAACAAGCATTAGAGTATTGAACATAGCACTGCAAGAGCGCAACAGATGTCCCTGTACAAAGAAAGGCAGCATTGCCTCGATTCTGTTCCATTCACTAATGTGCCAGTTCATAGTTTTTACCATGAATTATTAATGAACCATGGTGGACAGACAGGAGTAAAAGGAAATGAAACATGCAAAATTAAGCCGCTTTTTTTTTTTTCCTTCCTAGGTGTAACAAGAATTCAGCTATGAGAACTTCGGACAGCACAAGGACACGAGGATGGTAGCCAAAATAGTCCATATTTACTTGCTAGGATTTCCCAGATGGGCTTATAAACAACTCCTAGTTCACAAATTTTGTAGTTTGGGGACTTGCTAGTCACCTGATGAAAAGCAACAAAAGAACCCTAAACCCCATTACCTATTTTATCTTCCAGTCCATGAACTGATTAAAAAAAGTCTTCAGGTATCATGGCACCCAACGGGCAGAAGACAGAGTTATGCGGAGCTGCAAAATATTGCGAAGATAAGCTGTGCAAGTAACATCTGCCCAAGGCTGACATCTTTTAGTTTCTACAGAGTTAGTTCAAAACAGGACACTGGCCAATTCTGGTTAGCAGACACTTCTGAGAAAAATGATTTCATAAAGTGAAAAGCAGGGAAGGGCTGCCCTTGAAGTCTTGCACTTGTGTGTTATGTATTTGTACAAATCTAAGTGTCATCTCATCAGCCTTAAAAAAGGGGAGTGATTCTGCAGTATCACCCACAGTACTGTTTTATTGCTGTTGAAGCCTGTCATACTTCAGACTAAAAGCTCTGTAAAGTATATAAAGATTTTTGCCATTTTAATAGCGATATTTGGGTATGAGTCTTTTAGCATTCTTCGTAAGTTTCAATGAACACCACAATTAATAAAGTAACCTGCTCAGAAGTTCAGTTTATTTATTTTTATGCACTTTTTAACAGAGGGGTTATAGGAGGACCTCAGCTACACTTCCAGCGGTACACTTTTGTAGCTTTGAAGGGGAAACACAGAAAACTGAATGTGTGTAGGGTATGGCTTCCCAAATGGGGGCATTCTGAAATTTGCAGTCTGGTGTCAATAATTCAAAATCTGTGTCAGGATGTGGCCCATCTCTAGAACTGCTTATTAAAAAAAATAACTAAGAGTTCACTCTAAAAAGGCTTGAAAACAGCCCAGGCAACAGCAGATCATTGCTTCTGTTGACAGATGAATTTTTTAGCTCAACTGTTTGGTCTTATCTTTGAACTAAATTCATGGCAATCTTGTATTTTTGTTACGATGTACTTTGCATCAATAACATAGCAACAATTCCACAAGTTCTGTGCTACATGTCTTCTACTTACACTCTTAGGCTAAATACAACTATTCTTCAAACTATTGCAAGTATCACATCAAAAATACTTTGCTCCGAATCCACAGGCAACCATCCCCAAATCAATGGCAATGGCAGCCTGTTCAAAATCTGATCACATGTATTCTTTGTGAGTGTGAATAGCCCCAAGAGCTTTGCACCACAGACCATTATAGCACTAGCTTTGCCCATCTGCAAACTCTATTACATATTTCTCAATAAAAGTTTCCTGCTAAAATGTACAAATAGGAGCCTGAACTACAGATGTCTTGCGATGGATTAAAACACAAAAAGTTTCTTGCAGATGCATTTTGACTTAAAGTAATTTCCATACCTTTATATCTTTATCTGCATCTAACAGATAGGGAGCAATGCACAAAATAAAAGTACCAGAAGTATGATACTTACACTTAGGTATCAGGAAGGGACAGAGGGCCCTTGCGTTAAAGAACAGCTGCAAAAGCCTTCTCTTATCTCCAGAAAACTTTGAAATAAAAAGCCTGTGACAGTCACCAAAGCACTTCAGTGCAAGGATGGTGTGTTTGTCAAGTACAGTTAGGGTGTACATTGTGGGGGAACATCTTCCAATGGATTTTGCTTTAATACATGCTCAAACGCGGCCTACTAGTATTGGCCAACTGCCCCAAATTCAGAGCTGGCTGGAGCCTCCTCTGGGTGTAAATTTTGCTGCTCTTTTGATCTACTAAGCCACCAAGAAGTACACTCCTCTCTCCCCAAATTAACGTGCTTTGTGAAGGTAAGTGCATACCAAAGCTGCTTCACTTTCAGCCCAAGTAGGGCCAGTGTATACACCACCACAAGCAAATATATAAAGGTAAAAGTTACTTCATTTGACGCTCCAGCAGGGACCAGCATGAAGGCAGAGACACAAAAGGAAGGACCCTACCCTTTTTCTCATCACCTGCACTCCCATTTCCAGCCTACCGGGTATGCTATCTGCTGCAAACACAAATGCCGTTACAAGCAACATAGCTCTAATCTTACCTGACTAAACTAAAGCCTCTCCCGTGCAGATTGCTGCAAGTCATTATGTTTTCATTATTGTATCACATTCCCCCTTTCAAAAAGCCACAAGGAAAGCCACCCAGGTGAGGGCCGAGAGCCTTATTTAACCACACGTTGTTGTTCAGCTGTGCCAGACACTCCAGCGAGAGGAGGCCCCATCGGCAGCAATGGCTGTCCTCGCCACCTCCTCCCCCCAGGCCTCCAGGGCTCTATCACAGCGCAGTCCAACACGAGTCCTGCCACCTTGTCCACAGGCAGCCACGACCAGGATGTCAGACATGGCTAAAGCCCTCACGCAGATACCCTCCTGCTTCCAAAATGGTGGGAAACCCACCACAGAAACATCATGCCCTTTCCTCAATAAAAGCCTGCCCCACCTGCGTCTGGGAGCTGCGCCTGCAGGATGGCAAGGATCACAATCCTCCTCCACTTCATCGTGCGTGCTCCGGTGGTGCTGGGGAACGGGAGACCACGGGCGAGGAGGAGAGGAGGTTCCTCCACAGGCTGTGCTCGTCTGGCCGCCCCACAGGAAGCTCTCCTCCTGTGAGGGCTTTCGGAGTCCACCTGCCGGCAGCGGTGCCAAAGCACGAACCTTCCTCTGCCTCGCAGCCTCTGAGGTCTGGGGTTTCCTTTTGTGTTTTCTCTTTCTTTTTCTCTTTGCAAGACGTTTTTTGGCGATTGGAGGTTTTCTTTCCAATTTGTCTGGTGGTTCCTAGGTCATCGCAGTCAGCAGCTGCTGATCTCTGCAAGGAGCCCAGGAATCAAATCTGCCTTGACTTTGAAATACTGTAGAAGTGTTCCCAGTGCGCAGTATGGCATAAATAGAAGTTTAAAATTGTAAGTTATAGTCACTCTTGAATAGCTGGCTAAACTGGTACAGATAATAAAGTTCATTTCTAAATCTAGCTGAAATACAGCCTTACCGTGAGCACTGAAAGCGGCTGAACTGAGCGCTCAGGGCTGTGGAGCGGCCAGCACCAGGGAGAGGGGGACTGCGCCCGTCCTTGCAGACAGCACCCACGGGACATAAAACACCAGCACAACTGGCCTTGCCTGGCTCATTTCAGTTACTCCTGACTATGAAACGGAGCTGCCTTTTGAAGTGAACACGCTGCATCTTTCTGTTTTGAAAGGGTGTTAATGCGTGCAGAGCCCTGGAGCCATTTTGCCCTCTGAGCCGTCACAGCCTGCACATGGGAGAGCCTGTGCCGCCACTGAGGGAGAGCACAGGGGGCATTTCCCCCTCGCTTGGCTTGAAACAGAAAGCTTGGCAGCCCCTAGCTAATCACGCTACTCCTGCCTACTGAGTGGGCCATGGGATTCAACCTTCTTGCTGCTTGAAGCTGTCCTCTAGTGACAGGTCCCAAGGCAGACCAGGGGACCCCACGAGCAGGATGAGTGGTTTGAAGGCCACTGCGGTCTGGGAGCTAATGAGGCTTTTCAGCCCCATGTTGTAGGCTTGTCCGTTAACACAGCCCTTGGAGCAACACCAAACAGAGCAGGCCTGCCCACAGGCCCACGTTCTCCATCCAGCGCGGTGACTGCAGTGCCTCCCGTACTGCCCTAAACCCCTGCCACCCCCTTGGCTCTCCCCTGACCACCTCTGCAGGGGGATTCATTTAAAGCAACAGAGGGGAGAAAAACCCCAGCAGAATGAAAGGAAGAAAGGTGAAATGTGGAGGTTTAGGATAATCCTCCTGAGAAGGTATTAGGCAGAAGCAATTTCTCCAGCAAAGCATTAGGGCATTTATATGAAAAAAGTCATACCACTTGACGCAGTGGTGCCAGCTCTCACTTGGTAAGAAATCTCACATTATTGTGCTCTTTTCAAATGTGAATATAAATTTTCACTTTTATTAACACAAATAAAAAGTACGTTTTAGACAATGGTAAATTAGAAAAGCTTTAAAACATGACTTAGATACATCTAAAGCCCAAAACCATCAAAATACAAGTGGCTTAATGGAAGATTGCAGAGTGTTTACAATAATACACCTCAGGATGAGAGCTTAGGCTGGGAGGAAGCACAAGTATCTCAATGAATACATATATAAATTCCCCCTCGTATTTCTAATCCAAAGAAAAAGGAATATGTGTCTCCAGCAGGTACAGGAACAGGATTGGTGATAACTATTTCCAACAGAATGAAGACAACTGGCAGGGTAAGTCACTGTGCATATAAGTAGTAAGGATTTATAATATCTTGAAAGCAAATTAAATTGAAGTTCTGGGAAGAAGGAGACCAAAAAATTCATCACCTTGCTGTCTGGAGTACCGAAGGCTAAAACATTAATAAACCAGTATTATTCTTTTATTTCATAATTATTATATATTGTGCCAGTCAATGCCAAAATTATTAGACACTAGTATTACTCAGACCTAGTGCTACGTGCCACTCTGTGATACCTAGACAGTACTGCTGAGCTTCTGCTCTCCCCCAGCCTTGGGGAGGGTTTCCTTTGTGGTTCTTCTACCCCAAAAGCTGCAAGAGAAGGCTGTGTCACCTCTGACTCACTGCCAGGCAGAAGGCAGAGCACAGCCCGTGAAAGCCGCCACGCACTGAACCTGAAAGAGGTGTCATTAGTCCCAGAAACGGCTGTGCTCGGGTACGTGTTCTGTATTCACTGCGAGCCGGATAAAGCCCTGTCTGTCCGCTTCCCTGTGTAACAGAAGATTGGCTGAAATAAGGAATTAGTGAGAGGAAAAAGACCTCTGCTCCCACTGCAGGCTCCCTAAATCTCACAGATGCCTTATCCAAAAGCTAAAATAATATCATACTAGGTCTTGATATTTTTGGGTAACAGCATTTTCAGAGGAACAAATGACAGCGCTCATCACTATTCCGCTGACCCCTGTCTCCTCCTGTTATTGATCATAGCTTCTCCCTCTGGCAGAAAGCCAGCAAATTATCACTTTGAATAAAGAGTTGAGGCCAAAGGTAAGGAAAAGGAATGAAGAGCCGTATAAGAACGGGAGATTAATGGCAACAGTAGGCACACTGGGAGAAAAGCAGTTGGGCCAGTGTGTTTTGATGTCTAGATAGGGAAAGGTCAGAGAAACAGAGTATATAGACTGCAGTTAGAAGTGTGGGTAGAGTCAGAAAAAGGCTTTGCATGACTGTGTCCCTAGAAATTCTCTCCTCCCCATCCCTCAGCTTTTGAAACTGGGCAAGCTTATTATTATAATCTAAATACACTGAAAGTATGCGAAAGAGCAAATCATGCTTGTATTACGAGTTATTCTCACAACAAGCATGCAATGGGAGATGCAAATCCCATGCAGTCAAGGAGTACAGAAAAAGATAAAGAGGAAGTGGTCTCTTCTCTAGGAGGAAGCTTTTTTGTGTTCCTACAGCTTACAATTACACGATGAGGAATGATTTGCTTAGAGCGCCGCCTTCTTTTCAGCCTATTTGGTCTTTATATCTCTAGGAACTACATAGCACAGTAAAAACTTCAGCACCTCCTGCCCACGTTGTGCCTTAGGCAATCTCATACGTGCATTTTTACCAACAGTTTAGACACAGTTTCAGTTTACTCACTTCAGTCAGATCGTAAGAACTTTGTTGACACTGGACCAGGAATGAACGCCAACACTAGTGCAGCTGAAACAGCAGCTATTCTTCTCAGTACAGACAAGGCCACAGTGGAGACATAAACCCCTCCTTGCTGGGTTAAGAAAAGCTCTCAGCTAAACTTGACTCTTTATCTAAGCATACAGGTGGAGGAAAGTGCATTTCAAGAATTACCTGCACTGGGAACACTGCAAGATTTGATCTATGGTTCCTGAAACAGAATGGGTCAGGGACTTGAAGTGCTATCCAAATACAATTCAGTTGTGTTTAACGCTGGTTAAGGTGCAGGTCATTATCTGCAAGGATAACATCTATCATAAAATATACAAGGCATGCATTCAATTGGTTCTTTGCACCAATATGCCATTCTTTCTCTGGACACAAGAAATCCTGGAACAGCTCTAACGCAATGGGGTGATTCATCCCCAGAAGCATCCCTGTTCCACGCTTACAAGTCATGCTTCTACTATTAAAAAAAAAGAAAAAGACAAAGAAAAAAGCAGCAGAGCTTGCAGTTTTAACGGAAAATAAATGAAAACTGAAAACCAAACCCACTCCACAGTCAAGCTGAGGATTAAAAAATAGCTACACACTGCCCTCTGGCTCATGCATTGCTGCCACAGAGAGCTCGCCTGTAATCATTGCCACAGACTGCTGGGACTGAGAACGGGTCCATTACCAAAAGTTCTCCTAAGCCTATTTGATACAGCTAGCACTTGCAGACAAAATTAATTCCTACATCACCTGATGGAGGAGCTGGGCAGCTTTCAGATGGGAGAGTCCAGACAGACTGCAGAGTCTTGCCCCTGGTCCAGCAGCGCCAGAACTAATTCAACAAGTATTAAACTCATTTTTGGAGCAGTTCACACAAAGATAATGGGTGATAAATAAGCAACAATTTTCTCTGGTGAGCAAGCTGTAGCCTCCAGCAAGACATGCAGTTCGTGCAGTAGAGTAAACCATCAAATGGAGAAAGTCTGCTGTTTACATTGTGTAAGCCCACAATTTTTACTGACAAAATGTTGAGGACTGACAGTCCTACACTGCTTCACTGCATTTCAATGCACTGTAATGCCTCACAGTGAAGCTTTGCTTTGCTGTAATTGGGTTCAACTGTGCTAATCGCCTTGGAATGCAGCAATTAATACTTATTTAGTTATAATTGCTGCATTCCAAGAGGATTAGTCCCTGCCCTGCACTTTTGCCAGCATTGCAAATGGAGAGCTGGAAAGAAGACAGTGTCTAACTACAAGCCTTGATTTGCAGCTCCCAACAGGGAAACAAGAGAAGTTGGTCTTGCTACAACTGCTCCCCTCTGTGTATGAAAATACTGCTTTTCCAAGGGAAAACTGCTTGACTGTCACTCCTCCTTGCAGCTGCATTGTGCAAATAGAAGCCCTGCCACATCCAACAAGAAAAAAAGCCACAAACAAACAGCAGACACCTGTGCAGTGTCGTAAAGACAAACACAGCCAGGACTGTATGCTGCCTGTGGGAAATGATAAACAGACCCTGGTGCAGCGTAAGAATTAATTCCTATTCATTATTTTGGTTTGCTTGTTGGGCTTGGAGTTGGTTTGGTTTTGTGGGGGTTTTTGTGACTAGCAGTTCCCTGTTCCGACTATGGTCTTAAAATTTTTAGTGCAACATGGGTTTTGGAAACCTGTAAAGTGTATGTTAGTAGAAAGTCAAAATGTGCCCCCTCTGAACACTTGGTTTTGAGACTACTGGATGTGTCATGTCCAGTTCTTTCCTCCCCAGTGAAGCCTTTATGATCTGCTCTGGATTTTTTATTTCCTAAAAGCACTGAAGAGACCACTGCTTATGTCGTATCTTAAGAAGGAAGCACAATGCTGCTTCG